CATTATTTTTTCAACAAGCCTAGGGAATAGTTATTCTCAGGAAATATTATTTTAAGCCGATCCAGTACATTTTCACGATGGTTCTATTGGCTGATCTTATGCTCCGAATAATCAAATATTTTAAAACTCCAACCTTTGTTTTGCAACTATGCTTGGAGAAGAAGTTAAGTATACAGCCAGCATGTGTTGGCTTTATATGGACATCACTGATTAACCTCTCACCTGCTCTGACCTCTAAGACATCTAAAAAGGATAAATTATTGTTCATCTTCATTAAAAACAAGAAATTATCTAAATTATCTTTGCCATGCTGCCATATAGCAAAGTAGTCATCCATGCATCTAACTAACAGTTTGGGCGTCAATCTTACCTCTTCCATGAAGTGTTCCTCCTATCTCGACATGCAATTTTTAGCCAAAATGGGAGCCAAGCAAGATCCCATTGCTATGCCTTGCACCTGTCCATAAACTTTATTATTAAAGGTGAAGTATGTGCTGCTCATGGATAGATTAAGAAGCCTTAAGATAGATCATTTGCTCAAATTTCCCTCCCAATAACTTCTGGGTGTTCATCTAGGCTGAGTGTAAGCGCTTCAATAGCTTTCTGGACTGGGATGTTAGCATACATTCATACAACATCAAAACTAACCAAAAGATCCTCATTTTTAGTACTCTGTTGATCTATTAATCTAGTAAACTCATATGAATTCTTTACTGAATATTTCCAATACTCAGCCAATTTCCTTAGTTGTCTACATAATAAATGTGAGATGCTATGTATCACAGTACCCATGTTATTAATAATCAATCTTATAGGAACTCCTTCTTTGTGTATTTTTGAAGGCCGTAAGTCGAAGGCGCCCTAGCATCCCTCTGAAGAAGTGAATTCATTTTCCACTTCTCTATTTCTCCTCCGCTTACACAAACTTGAAGCGATTCCCTAAGTCTGGCCTCAAGACTCTCTGTGGGATCTTCACGAATAGTCTCTAACTTTCTGAGATATTTATGTGAACCATCCTTTTTTCTATATACCATAACCGATCCATGCTGACCACCGCACCAACTTTAGCTAACTCATTTTTATGGAGTAATTATTGCAAATAAATCGTATGACTTGAATAAATTTTCTCGATATCTGCACCAAAATGATCCGTTTGTTTTAAAGGCAGATAACGGTGGTGCAATGGTGATCATGGATAGGTTAAGTTATATAATAAAAATGATGGTTCATTTAAATTACTGAGAAACTTATAGACTCTTACTGAAGGATCCCACAGAAAGTCTTAAGGCCATACTTAGGGAATCGCTCAACGTTTGTGTAAGCAGAGGAGAAATGGAGAAGTGGAAAATGAATTCACTTCTTCAGAGCGACACAATGACACCTTCGGCTTACGGCCTTCAAAAATGCACAAGGAATGAGTTCCTTTAAGATTGATTGTAAATAACAAGGGTACTGTGATGCATAGGATCTCACGTTTCTTATGTGGACAACCTTCTAATCTCTTCATTCAACACCTTCACTCGAAATGGAAGTAAGCTCAACAGCAATTATGAATCAAGAGATTCCTTGAAACCAAACTTTGAATGTTTGTGCTCTGGTGAACAGGAAAACGTATTCCTTTATGCGTCAAGAGCTGACAGCACAAATGACAAACAAATATCTTCCTAATACTGTTTTCTTCAAATTCCTCCCCATGAGCCGATCTTTCCTCACCACGTCATGTATGTATCGTAATTACATTTTGCCAATTTTCCGTCATCCGTACTCTCGTCTGCCATCAGTGCTCCGACACCAGCTCACCTTCCTCTCACCTGTCACTTTGTTTCACACCCCGTCGGTCGGACAACAGTGCAAGGTTGCCTCTTGCAGTGGGTGTGAGAAGATGGAGGAGGAGAATGCAGGATACTGCAAGAGTTGCCGTCAAGCTGGGTCTTCCGGCAGGTGGAACATTAAAGTGGTGCCTCTATCAAAAGTGACTGAGGCTCTTTCAGCCTCATCTCGGCCATGGGCAAGACATACTCTTTGCTCTCTGGATTACTCCGTCTCCGCGCCCCGTTACTGTAGCACATCGACATGGGCCTCTCATACACACGCCCCGCTCGTCTACTCCACTTTGCGCATCGCAACTTCACCTTCTGGTTCGAGAGCCTGGAAGCTCATTCGGTCTCTCTGTCTGAGACACCAGCTGCCGTAGCCATTAGCTGCGACTGTCCGGCTGAGTGAGCAGTCGCTAGCCCGGCAAAGGGTGAATTTCCTCGGTTTTAAGCAAAAAAACGAGCAAAAACCTGAACCTACAGTCGGCCCTACTGCCTCAAATAGAGCTTTAACCAAACAGCATTGCCCATTCTATATTCCCAAACAGCTTAGAGGTGCCAACTTCTGCTGCATCTAGAGTTCTCTATTGCTCGGAAAAAGATGAACCGTTACATCTTACTAATAATACGTTGATAATCATAATCATAATTATCTATTATTATAGCAGTGTTGGTAGCATCGTTTATCATCATTATTATTAGCATCAGGTTCTCATTCTTCTTCATCATCAATAGTAGTGATAATATTAGTAGCAGTAGTATTAGTAGTAGTAGGATTGGTATTTTACTAATGATAGTCAATTCTCCGCTCTCCATTTTTCGACAAGCTGGCTGATGTATCTCACAACATTTGTTTGATTTGGGTGTTAGCCGAGTCCGAGGCATATACAGCACAGATGCCCAACCAGCTTGGAAAGTTGTTGGTTTTGTTGCTGAAGATACCAAATTGAAGCCAAAACTTCCCTCCAGTCTGATAGAGTGTATGTTTTTAGCGATAGAGTGGAGTAGAAATCATCGACAC